TCATGACAGTTTCAACATACCTTCTAATATTTCACAAATTTGGAATTTAAAAGACCACCTGGGCTCCAGCATATTGGCACCTCCTGGGAGTGACTGCCACAGCTGTTCCAACCAGAAACAACTCTAAACAGGTCCCTGGCAAAGTCTTGTTGGTAACATTGCTTATGGTGAAGGCACAATGGGTTGTCCAAACAGGTGATCATTAGAAGCAATGCAAGGCTCAGAGCTGCATGGAGCTGCTTCTGGATGGTGAAACAGCAGTGGTTCTCTCTTGATTTGTAGACCCTGGATTGTCTTGGATTAGGCTCTATTCAACTGTCCACATGTCACTCCAGAGTTAACTGCAAGCTACTGAAGAACTGGTCATACATTGTATTGACTCCTTGCAGCAGTCTGCTTTATTTGGCCCATGGAGACACGAGGTTGGGCTACTTCCTCAGACCTTATCAAAGAGTCATATGCTCCATTCTGAGCCTTTGTCTTCTCATGCCTACAAGAATTATCACAACACACTATCCATTTTGTTGGTAATCTGTAGGTCAGTGCTTCTCAACCTGTGGGTCCTCAGGTGTTTTGGCCTACAATTCCCAGAAATCCCAGTCAGTTTACCAGCTGTTAGGATTTCTGGGAGTTGAAGGCCAAAACATCTGGGGACCCACAGGTTGAGAACCACTGCTGTAGGTACTCATAGGCAAAGGATCTGCTGCATGTACCTTTGGTAAAATGAGTGGGAATTGACTTCACTTGTCTCTAATTTCTCTGCACACATCAGGTGTGGGTTTTTTGTGTGTGTATCATTGTACTCACATATGCAGCTCATCTGCAGGTGAATATCTGTGCCGATGATGTGTCTTTTGGTGCTCTTTTGAGACATTGCTGTCATTTTATCAAACTTCTAACTTTCTGTGAAGGGCTGCTCATACACAACTTCATGTGCCTTCTTTGTAGGGACCAAAAAAAATTCCAGAAGCCCCAGACAACAGAGGGTAAGGGATTTTGAGAGTCATCGTCCAGAACATCTCAGTGGTAGTAGTAGTAGTGGTGGTGGTGGGGAATCTACATTTGGTCTTGATAGTCCGGTTATGGTCTGAGTAGGAAACAATTTGGAAACCTGCGTACAGTATACATTATCTAAACAATCATACTGGCTTGTTTTAAGAGGTTGTTCCAAAAATTATGGAGATAATGTACTTTGTATTTTGCCTGTTAAAGACATGTGGTTTAAATATTTATTTTAATATATTAAAAACAGTGCACAATACAGCATAATCACAAATTACAGTGATCAAATACATGTAAAATCGTACAGAAAATGACAGCTTCATTTTAGCCCAATATTAATACAAATTGGTTAATTTTGAAAAACAGTTTGCCTTTTATTCAGGGAAATGTAGTAGAATTTAATTTAAATCAGCATTTTGAAAAGGCAATGACCTATTTGGGTCCAGGTAATTACAATTATATTGCAATTACTCTGAGTTCTGATTGATACTTGATGCCAGTGGTGTATTGTGTTTCACACATTTGCTTTTTCCCTTATAGCGCCCTGTGAACAAATTACTTTATGAAGACATTTAGCTAGGGATTGGCCCCCTAATTACATTTTTCTCTTGGATTTTCTTCTCTGATAAGAGTTTTTCAGCTTAATTTCAAAGGCCTTCTGCAAAATTATTTCAAGAATCCCACAATCCAAATGGTCTCTAGTCTAGAAGAGTCCAAAGTATCAAAATTTCTCATGTCTGGGCTTGAAAAGTAACCCAGATCTTTCATAACAGTGTTCTTATGGAATGAGAAAGACAGAAGTAGCAGAAGGAGAGAGGGAAATAACAAGTTTGGTCTTCTAGTTTAAGTTCTGGTCTTTCCCTCTGAAACTTTAATCCTATCTAAATAATGTGGTCGTTTACATAAACAACATGTCTGAACCAAAGAAACAAAGATGCTTATGTGACCATCATTCATGGATACATAGCTCCATAATGTGATTTTTGGCATCCCCTCCCACAATTGCTGCCTCTGCCCTCTACCCTCTTCTCAGCCTGCCAGATGCCCACAAAAAGAACAGAAGAATATTGAATCAAGGAAATATTTCTTACTGGACTGCAGGATTAATATGATCCAAGGGAGGTGGGGATAGGGTGAGTGAGAAGGTGCCAGACAATGGAGTCTCTGTTACAATTAAAAATATGTAGGTTCACATTTTCCTGGAGCACAATGTCTTCATGCAGTCATTCCCTCACAGCCACTTGTGGAAATGGAGATTTGTAGGTGAAAGCAATGCCACTTTTTCATGTCAGGAACTACTTGAGAAACTGCAAGTCGCTTCTGATGTGAGAGAATTGGCTGTCTGCAAGGACATTACATAGGGGACACCTAGATGTTTTGATGTTTTTTGCCATCCTTGTGGGAGGCTTCTCTCATGTCACCACATGGGGAGCCGGAGCTGACAGAGCTCATCTGTGCTCTCCTCGGATTCGAACCTGCGACCTATCGGTCTTCAGTCCTGCCGGCACACTGGTTTAATCCATTCCACCACCTGGGGCTCCATAAAAACCTGTGACCTTTTGGTAAAGGTATAGGTTTTTCCCTGACATTATGTCCAGTCATGTCCGACTCTGGGGTGTGATGCTCATCTCCATTTCTAAGCTGAACAGCCAGCGTTGTCTTAGACACCTCCAAGGTCATGTGGCCGGCATGACTGCATGGAGCACTGTTACCTTCCCGCCGAAGCGGTACCTATTGATCTACTCACATTTGCATGTTTTCGAACTGCGAGGTTGACAGAAGCTGGGGCTGACAGTGGAAGCTAACGCTGCTCCCCGGATTCAAACTTGTGACCTTTTGGTCAACAAGTTTAGCATCTCAGTGGTTTAACCCTCTGCACCATAGTAATGTAATAATACAAATTGTAACCCAGCGGGGATAGAAATGGGAAAATCTCACTGCAACACTGGATTGATCTTCTCGACCTTCCTTATTATACCCCTATGTCTGAAGCTGCTGCACATGGTGTTGAATAATATTATTCAGATAAAGGCATCAGAGCCCCTTTGATCTTGGAAACAAACTGTATCAACTTGTTAGTACTTGAATGGGATATTGCCAACTAATACCAAGCATCATAGGGTCCATTTTAAAGGAAGAAATAGGATTTTGTGTAGTCTGGTATAGGAGGAATTTCCTGGGATGACAGTATGTTTCCACACTGGATGACACCAACTGTACTGACATCACTGCCTTGCTGCAAAAGCAATCAAGCATGAGAGTTTCCCTGCCTTTCTATTTCCTAGTGAGACAGTTCTTGGTAGGGATCAGTAGCAGACATATGTGAAACTTTTTTTTAATTAAAAACCCCCTAAATTTCTTTGTAACAAATGTTAAAAGCAAAGACATTTTGTACAACTCTGGAGTGTGCCAACATGTTGGTTTTCATGTAGGTAGTGTCATAATTGTGCTTGATGAAGAGAATGATTCATTTCTACTTGAATTTGTATTGTACTGCTATCCATATATGACCTTATTTGCACTAGGTGGGTTCTCAGCTATGGAAACCTAAGCTTAAATAGACAGCATTGAGGAAGTTTAGGCCTAAATCCTATTGTTATTCCAGTGCAGCCATTCAAATTTACCGCTCAACAATTCATTCACTGGGATTACTCTAGTTTAGACTAAACAACAGTTTTCTAAGCCACATAGGCAACCTCTCAGATGTTACTAGATAGCAATGGGATTTGCCTAAGAGTTTACTGACTATTCACAACTATTTGTCCCCCTCCCCAGTGGTGCAATTGGTTAAACCCTTGTGCCAGCAGGACTGGTGACTGACAGGTCAGTGGTTCAAATCCAGGGAGAATGGGTTGAGATCCCTCTGTCAGCTCCAGCTCTCCATGTGGGGACATGAGAAAAGCCTCCCACAAGGATGGTAAAACATCAAACATCCAAACATCCCCTGGTCAACATTTTTGCAGATGGCCAATTTTCTCACACCAGAAGTGACTTGCAGTTTCTCAAGTCACTCCTGACATGAAAAAAAAACTGATTCTGCTTGGAACTAGCAGTTATATATGGCCAATGTGCTTTCCTGACCAATTAAGAACTTTAAAAATATCTTTAAAATCATTCTAATAATCCTTCAAGTAGTGTGGCTACTCCTTTTTTTAAAAAAAAAAACGGAGTCAAGACTGAGGATGGAGAAGTCTTGTCAATGGAGGGAGAAAGTGCACTGGTAATGGATAAATTTAGGCACTCCGTGAAATGTCACTGCACATCTTAAAACTGTTGTATGCAACCTCATACTTGCCAACACTTCAGGGATGACAAATTGCACATGTGTAGCCAAGCAACATCAGGTAGGAACAACGTAACAAAAGTTGTTAATGAAAAAAAAAACACAAGATAGTGGAGGCTACATTAGAAATGGGGCAGAATACAAATAAAGTTTTTAAAAAATATTTTATTTTTACCTAAACCTGTTGGGAAGGGCAAGGTTCTGCCCCCTCCCCGCCCCCACTTACTAAGTTAATGGATTGCAAACAACTTTTGCACTTTGAACTAAATTTGGACCAGCAAAGAGAAAGGGAAAGTGCAAAGAGAGAGAAACAACATTTAAAAAGCAGTTAAATGAGATGATGAAATTTTAATCAAGACTGTTCTTGCCAAATCAAGACAGTTGGAGAGTAGGCAACCCAGCACTGCCTCTTAGATTTTTGGATCACAAGTGTGGCATCTTCACACACATGCACACAAACCAACCAAATTGGAAGAGGCAGAGCCATGCAAACTCAGATTATATTTTGTCTGAATCCAATCTTCCTGGAATTTTATTCTATGCTTTGCAAAATGGAAATGCTGTCACTGTTAAGGAAACATGCTGCTTTTGGGCACTTTGTAAAATTGAGAGCAAAATTCAATTTAAATTAAATCTTTGGAAATAGCAGAATTTAAAAATTAGAGCAAACTAATGGATTGATTTACATATGCTTTGTGCCTCTTTTATTTTACAGAAAATCAGAAGAGTAACCATCTTGAGGATGCCATGTCTGTTCAGTAAAGTCCAGAGCCACTTGTGAGACGCTGGCCACCATGTTTGTTGAAAAGAGCAACACTCCTTTGTCTCAGAAACCAAGTAAGAAAAAGACCAGGCCACAGGGTCTGCCTTCCCCAGCTCTTTGCTGTGCTTGTGGTCTGTGCATCATGCTAGCAGGGATTAATATCACTCTGGTGGGTGCCTTTGCTTTTGGAACATTTCTGCCTGTCAACAATCCTCCTATTGTCATTGGGCCCATCCTTTTGGTGGTGGCATTCACTTTCTTTGGAGCCTGTTGCATCTGCAGCCGAAGGCCACCCGCTCATGGCACAAGGAAATCTAAAACTGGGGCCAACATTGGGCTCATCAAACCTGGCAACACGGCTTTTGAGATTGAAACCAGTGAGCATACTGTGCAAGACACGACTGCCGTGCAGTTGAGCCCAACCAACTCTCCAATGTCCTCCAAGAAATCCACGCCGATTCATGAGAATTCTAAGACTTGCAAACTCTTTACGATGGACAGCAATGGGCCAGCAGCCAAGTACACAGCTGGTGGAGAATCAATACAGCTGAATTTGCCCAGAGACATTGCTATGTCATAAACCAAAGAGGAGAATATTTATGAATAGCTGGGCAGCAGGCATTTCAGCATGTGACCAGATGGTCAAATGAGTTTTCAGTGCAGCAAGCATCTGGAATCAATTTAGAGTTGGCCAACACATGCATTTGAATATGTTGAAAAATTTAAGGGAAAGCAGTAATAAGATGGTAATTAGAAATCAATACACAGCAGTAGGGGGAAGTGCAAGACGCTTGGGTGGAGGAACTGAGTTTTGAGCAATGAAATTAAAATGAAATATGGAATATATAAATCAATAGCATGCAGCTAGCACATCTAGAATAGCCTCGATTTCATTCATTACTTTAATGGGCTTGTGAATGTTAACTTGATGATCTGGATTTGATGATGCAGAGCAGTGGAAAAATACAGATTCTGTTGTTAGGCAGAATAATAGCTTGCTATAAAGCAATGGTAACAAGGGGAAAACCATCTGTATTCGGTTTATTTATTTTGATGCCAAATGAGGCAATTAAAACCGATCATGCCTCTTTTGATTTTCCCTATGCCCGCATTTTCATTCTTTCATTGGTTTCTGCAGAAGTCTCTGGAAGATACATGCATCAAATATCTTCTTTTTCAGCCTTTCTTCACTTTCTAGCTTGTAGCTGGCCATTGGCTGTGCTGGGTAGCATAAATGTGGCATGAAATAATATTTTTACAACTGATTCGGTATCTGCAGGTTGACCTGAACACCCATTTCTTTGGAAAGAAAATTTGGCTTCTGAAAAGTTGATGCACAAATATGGAAACATGCACAGATACACATATGTGTCCTATAGAGAAGAACATTGCTGCAAAAATGAACATTTTGATCTCCGTATAATCAGCTAGAGTCTTTCATTTGGGGAAAACTGTAACACAGAGCTTTTTTTTAATGGAATGAGTTGTGTGGTCCAGATTCTGTATATGTATGAGTGATTCAATGAACACACTCTCTTGTGTCTTTTACCTGTATCAAACTACTTTGCATCCTATTGAATTCAGCATAAACGATGCTTCTGTGTAAAGAACAGGTCTTTTCTTGTAGTCATCACTAGAAGTGAAAATGGTGTAAGTAATGGCACGCTTAAAAAATTCCTTAGTTGTCAATTCAGATAAAGTTGTTTGATCATGTTTAACTCCGATTGCTCACAATATTCATTTTTTATTTCAGAAATTGTTTGTACTCTAAAAGTAAAGTGTTATAATTAGATAGAATTTTGAGGAAGGGAATTTTCTTGGAAACAAGCAAAGCTTGTGAGGATTAAAAATGTAGACCAGAGTGGAGAGGATCATCAAGATATCATTCTGTGGAGATTTCCCACATGATGTCAATGTTTCACAATGGAACTTATGCATGACTGAGATCTCCCCATTTGATTTCTGACCTTTTCTAGATTGCAGCATTGGCCCATTTTCAGTTCTTGTCTCTTTGTTTTCCTTACACGCTATCAATACACAAAAACTCATATTCACATGGGTTGAAAAACAACACCCAAAATAAATTATATGCTATACGATGCCTATCCCAGTAAGATTACAGAATGTAGGATGAGTCAACAGTGGGTTTTTGATTGTGATGGGAAGGTCAAAGAAGGGGGGAGAAATTTAGGTGGTGACAATGTGTGGAGGAGGCAGCAAAAATAATGAGAAAAGGGAGGGACCAGAGGAGAATAATCAACTCTCCTCAGAGGCTGCCTGCAAAAATCCAATTAGTGAAGAATATTTGACAGCAGTATTGAATTATCAGAAGATGTTCAGTATTGGATTAATTTATGCATTTCTGCAGTTAGAGTTGTTTACTGTGCTAAATATAAAGGGATATTTTGGAAGTGTCTATCACTTGAGAGATTACACTATGTAACATGATTTTTGTTCCTGGGTTATAAACATCATTTCCTGATTGGTTCTATCATAAAAACATGGAAAAAGTTTATTAAACTGCAAAACTTTGTTTTTGCAGGACATTCTGCAGGACATTTTGCTATAGTTTTTCTATGAATCCCACATAGAGTCTCAACCAATTCAACATAGCTTGTAGCAGCCACAAAATGAAGTTTATGGAGTATAGAAACTACTTTCAAAGTAAATAGAAAAGGTAAAGGTTTTTCCCTGACATTAAGTCCAGTCATGTCCTACTCTGGGGTTGGTGCTCATGTCCATTTCTAAGCCAAAGAGCCAGCATTGTGCGTAGATGCCTCCAAGGTCCTGAGGCCAGCTTGACTACATGGAGTGCTGTTACCTTCCCGCCGGAGTGGTACCTATTGTTCTACTCACATTTGCATGTTTTCAAACTGCTAGGTTGGCAGAAGCTGGGGATGACAGCGGGAGCTCACACCGCTACCCGGATTCGAACCTGCGACCTTTTGGTCAACAAGTTCAGCAGCTCAATGCTTTAACCCACTGTGCCACTGGGGGCTGTACAATTAAAAAGGACACAACATTTTCCAACCAGGAACAGTTTTTTTTTCAAATTTTGTTACATACTGTTATCAAACCCATTTGCCTCTTATCCACAGTTGGGACTGCATGTTTTCAAACATGTGTGATGGATTCCCTCTTCAGGCTTTCCTTGCACTTCCAAACTTTTAAGCTCTTGTCATTAACCTTGCACATCTTCTTCTTAAGATCCCTCCCTATTTTGGATATTAGGGTTTGAAGGTGATCCCTATTTGGATTAGTGAAACTGTTGTTCAGTAAGTTCATTGTGGTAAATGTGACCAGAAGCTGTACTGAAACTTATCAGGAACAGCAAACAATTGCAAAAAAACAACAACAAAAACAACAACAGCAGCTACAAGTGCAACATAGTTTATACATTAAACCCTGAACCATTAAGTCACACATTAACCTCTAATTCATTTAATCAGCGTATTCAGTTATTTCCTCTGACCCCTGTCACAGTTACAACAATTGGATTTTTGTAGGGTGCAGTAGAGTAAATTAGGTGCACAGCCCTATTAGGTTATTAATTTAGGCCCCTAATCCTGTTGGTTGTCAACGTCCACTCCTGCCTGAAACAAAGCAAGAATTTTGACACAGTAATGAAACTTTCTCAAGCTTTGCCTTTGCAAATGTTTTAATAAGCATGCACATGCACTGGGGTACACTGGTGCAGACAGAAAGGAGAGAAAATAAGAATGACAACAGAGATTGAAAAGAAATAGTAGTTAAAATATTTAATCACTTATAATATGTATATGTCACCAATACCTAAGGTATTAGGATGGTGTATTATGATTGTATGAAAGATAGCTTCACTCCTTTTATGATGTAACTACAATATTTTAGCAAGCTTCTATAGTTATGAAGTTGCCATCACATGATATCTCAGAAGGCATGTCACACAGTTCAGGTACTAGCTCTGTCTGCTTCACCCTACTCTGTTGTGCACGTTGAGGCAATGACAAAGTAGAAGGGGGGGCGGGGGCAGTCTGTATTTTGTACAGTGACATATCTCATTCAGGTTTTATTTTTTAAAAAATAGTAAAAGTAAGTATTTTAATTAGTTTTGTAATGAAAAAGCCAGAAATTATCCTAAAAGCTGCAACAAAGAACAGTAACTTAACCAATTGCTTTAAAAAGTTGCTTGCAATCACATGCACTGAACCTACTTATGCACAAATCCTGACACCCATATTAGATTTCTTTGAGATAGTCTGGAGCTTATTTATGGAAACCTCTGTGATGGGGCCCTATGCCAGAGAATTCAAAAAGCCATGCCCTGAACTACATTTCCCAGAATTCTGCTCAGCATCAGAAAACCCCATTCAGGATAGGGGAGAGCTATTTTCCCTCCGTAGCAGCAGCCATGCAGAGTTCCAATAAATTGTTGAATCTGCAAAGAGGAGGACTGACTGATACTTCTAGTAAGTAAATCTCTGTGCTGGGTTGGAAGGAAATCCTTAAATGGAAGTTCTATTGGTTAATACGAGAGAGATTAAATGAAATAGCTGTTGTGGCCTTTTTTTCCTCCCCCCCCCCTTTTTTTTTGGTCAAAACTTTAAAAATTCCCTAAAATCAGTAGATGAATAGCTATTTCTGAAAGTTGGGGGGAACGATACCTTGTTATCTTGTGTCACTGTACAGAAAACTCAAGGAGATAGTTCTCGTAGTTTTTAAAATGTTGCTTATAATAACTTTGGAAATTCCCCAAAAATCCGTGGATAAGTGAAACATTCTGAAAATTGATGGGCTCATGGTGGTAAGCGTGTTCTACTATTGTAGCAAGTTTCACCCTAATAGCTGTAAAAATAAGAGAGAAAGGAGCCCCTGATGTTTCCCCACTTGTACAATTCCTATAATGAAAAAATAACAAAATTTTGTTACTCTCATTATAGTAACGAAAGTTTTACTTAACTATATTTTTGAAATACATTAGAAATTAAATGCCAGCACCCACTAATTTTGTAATGACTTTTGAAACATTTTAATAGACTGTACATACCTAATATTCATTCCAAGATGCACTCAAACTGCAGCAAAGAAATCAGCTCCCAGCTAAATGTTTCTGATAACATATCTTGTACCATGTCTAAGATGATAATTTTTCATAATCACCAGTCTGATCATTCTTTTCAATACACCATGATAACATATATATTGCCAATTTTAATAAGGCCAGCATTTCAGATTCATACTACCAAACTGTACAGAAAAGTTGATCAACACCATTTTTGTAGGAGTCGGGGAGATTTTTTTAATCAACTAAAAGCAAGTAGATTTGTGTTGTGTTTCAAAACTATTTTTTCTGAAACCAAGTATTTTGTGGAATGGAACTCTTTTGCACAGTTAACACTTTAAAATGTATTTGCTTGAATTCTTGAAGAAATTTAGTGTTTCAGGAGATAAAGGGAAGATCTTTTTTGTTCCAGTTTTGAAATATGTTGAAACATATCAGTTTTATTGTATAAAATACTTGTGGCCTATTCTGCTCAGTGTTTGGAGTTTAACATATTAGTCATGTTCTGGTATCAGTTTCCATGTTTACAAAAGCAAGTGACTGTTGAGTCCATGTTTGGTGCTGCTCTTTGGACTCTCCTTGTGCTCAATAAAATATGGTCAAACATTTCCTCACTTTACTGTTGCTACACCTTGGCTGCCTCATTCTTATCAACACATCGTGCTGTTACCTTGTATTCAGATATTGTGGTGGTGGAGAAAATACACATTGGATACTGTGGAAATAATTTACATCTTCTCAACGGCTTATGGATAAAGAAAAATCTTGAAATGAGAAACATTATCTATATTCCCAGATTGACTTATGTTATCCAACCACTGCAGTCCTTTCAAATACTGTTTATACTGTGATACTATTTAACCAAAGGTCTGCTTCACCTACAGATTCAACATTGCACAGGCGAGTCACTGGAAAACAACAGTCACTCAGTAACAATTCAAGCTTAAGTTTCCAAGAGAAGAGATGGGCTAGAAGTATGGAATCAAGAAACCATTTAGATCTACGGGAGAACTTGATGACTGTTTTAGGTGCCTTTGCTTCTGATCTGTCACAGTGAGAACCCGGTAGTTTAAAATAACATAACACCTCTGTATGATGAAAACTTTTCATACCTTATAGGGCCAAACAAATGGCAAAAGTAGATAGATCATTGAGCACAACAGTTTCTTCTATCCATATTCTCTCTAAACCAATAATTTTTCTGCAATGAATATTTATACAAGGTAAATAAGATCAATTTGAGTAACTTACAATTTGTTTCTATTTTGGCAGTAAAAACCAAGGAGGAAAGTACAAGGAAAGAAAAATGAAACTTCTAGAATGAAATCTAATAATCAATACTTGAAACCAGAATGTGGAAACATTCCCTTTTGGGATTCCCATTACCAAAGTTGTGCCCAAAGGAAAGGAACACATTCACTCTCAGAGAAATGTAAAAGCATGCACAGTGATGGTGAACCAGGTGAAATTCTAGTAGTCATTTCAGGGCTATTGTGATAAATGTACCAGCAGCCATTCTGGGAAGGAGGAGGTAGAACGTTGACTATGCCAACCAGCCTTTAAGCTTGCCTATTGCACTGCAGGCAGATAAGGAACTGCTGATTAAAGGTGGCATGGAATATCTCCTGATTAAACAATATAAATGTTACAATTGTCAGTCAGAACTAGAAGTTCACATAAGGAATCTGGACTAAAAATGAAACACTTCCAAATTTTCTCCCTTTGCTTTCCAAAGTGATACATATTGAAAAATACTTTCCTTGTTATTTGTTAATTCCTTCTAAAATCTTAGCTTTATTGGAACGCAATGCCAGTAATCCTTAAAACAACAACAACAACAAAAAACCTACCATCTATAAAAGCCAAGGGACCCTGAATGCTTGAGTTCACACACTTGTGCTTCAGTGGTCACATTGTAGTCAATGAACAAATGCTTCCAAATTGCAAAAAAGGAGGTTTCATCTAAACAGAATATACTTTTTTTGTTGTTTGAAAGTGGAATAGACTGCCTCAGAGACCGATAGATCCATTATCTTTCAACATCTTCAAACAGAGGCTGGATGGGCATTTTCAGGAATTCATCCCTCTGCCATTCAGGAATACAAAATGCCACCGCAGCGGGACATCCAACCTCTTTTTTTAAAACCTCCAGAGAAGGATACCCCACCACACTCCAAGGCAGAATATTCCACTATTGAACAGCTCTTACTGTCAGGAATTTCTTTCTAATATTAAGGTGGAATCTCTTTTCTTTCAGTTTGTATCCATTGCGCCATGTCCTAGTCACCAGAGCAATATGGCAGCCATCACATTGTTTTAAAGAGCAGGACTCATAGAAATTGAAAACCTTTAGGGATTGGAGGTTGTAGTCCATGCCCCCCTCCATCCACATGTGCCAGTTTATCTTTTTCCTTTTACATCAAGAATCGAGCACAGCAGCTCTCTATGAGATGAGAGGATGCCAGACCAGCCTTCTGTACTGTATGTGTTTTATCCTGTATAATTTCTGCTATGTAAATCACCTGGAGCATCTCAGATGGAGGGCGATTAATAAATAATTAAAGATGATGATGATGATGATGATGATGATGGTGATGATGAGAGTCCTGCCAGTGTGTTGGACAGAGCATTTCCTTCTGTTACAGACTGGAATATAGCAAATTGGTTTTTGCTTTCATTGAGGAGGAAGTTGCTGAATTTTCGCCCTGTTGCTTGTCTGCGGGGGCAGTAAGGTCTGCAAAAATCACCTGGGGATGCCTATGACTGACAGTCTGCATATTGCTATAACTTGCTTTAATGACTTCCAGTTCAGTCCAGTAGCTGAAGCTTTCCCCAGCCCACGTTTTCATGCCAGGAAAAAGCTTCTATTCTGAAAACCCCTCCTGAAATGCTTCTGTTACATGCACAAAGATCTTGCCCAGGGGGGAAAAGTTAAGAACTCTAGTTTTCAAAATGTTCTGCTACATTAGTTTCCATCCCCATCAAAGAACTTGATTTTCCACAGCAAAAATTGAGCCCCACCTCCCACTATTAAAATGGCATTTTGCTTTTCTGCTTTAAGAATTAATTTTCTGAGAAGTCTTGCCTCCCAGCTCTCACTACACTTGTCTTTGATTTCATGGCTGAGGTGATTAGTCTGGGCTGACATCCACAAGTAATGAGATTAAGGAGTCTGTGGCAAAAAAAGAAGATGCAGAATTTTACTCAAGATTAAAAGGCAGCAAAGAAACCCAAAGGGCTGTTTATTCTATGCTCAGGCTAAGAAACATGGGAATCTTCAGGCTTGAAACAAGCTCCGGTGCCAACACATGTGGTGCTAATTGGTATCCACAGAGAGACCAAGATCTAACCCCATGAGCCTTCCAGCATGTGGTGGATGAAAATTGAGGACACAGGTGGTTACATTTCAAAATCATGAAGCTTATAAAGTAGCAAGATACTTGTGAATACATCCCAAGAGTCAAGATCTTGATAGAGAGCTCTTCAACAGCACATCATTATAGCTTTTGCTGTTATGGTTTCATCCTGTGAAATCTTGTAATTTGAAGTTTAGGGAGACTATTTAGATTACCATAGAACAATAGTGCTTCACCAAACTACAAACCCCAGATGCCCATAGGATGGAGGCATGACAATTAAAGTGAAATCACAACATTATACTTGCATAGTGTGAAAGGGTCCAGAGTTCTTCCAATATCTATTTGTATTCAAAGCAATAGAAGATGAGTCATGCTGGATCGGATCAAAAGCCTATCTACTCCAATATGCTGCTCTCACTTGCCCCAGGAAAACCCACAATAGCGTACGGAAGCCTGAATTCTATCAGTAGTCCCAATTAGGCTAGATCAGGCATGGGTAAACTTTGGTCCTCCATGTGTTTTGGACTTCAACTCCCACAATTCCTAACAGTCTACCAGCTGTGAGGAATTGTGGGACTTGAAGACCCTAACCCCTGGAGGGCTGAAGTTAGCCAATGCCTGGGCTAGATTCACTGAATCACTTTGATTTGCATAAATGTTGACTCTCCATTTAATAACTGAATCACCGATACTATTTTAGTAAGATTTACCAATAAGACATTATCACATTTAATTAACAGATATAAGGACTGGATATATATATATATATATATATATATATATATATATATATAGAGAGAGAGAGAGAGAGAGAGAGAGAGAGAGAGAGAGAGAGAGAGATGTAATGTTCATTTGTGGGATTAACATAACTAAAAACCAATGGACAAATTGACACCAAATTTGGACACAAAACACCAACAAGTGACCATCATTCATAAAAACGTTGAAAAACACAGCAGAAGAGACTTAAAAGCCAAAAAACAAAAATATACATTACAACTCATGCACAAAACCACATATATACACAAACACACATATACACAAATATATACAGACATATGCACACACAAAACACATATACATAGAAAGGGGGGAGGAAGGAAGGAGAGAAAGAGAGAAGGAGGGAGAGAAAGAGGGAAAGAAGGAGAGAAGGAAAGAAAGAAACAAAGATAGAGAAAGAAGGAAGGAAGGAAATAAAAAAGT